GGTAAACTTTGAATGGCAGAACTTTAGCATTTGCTGACAAATCTTGGACCATAACAGCGTCCTATTAATTTTTACCATATTCTCTTCATTTCAGTTAGTGCCTTTTGTTTGTTAGTTGTTCTTATGTTGTATGTCTTAACCATCAAATGCACGCAATGAATTCAATGCGGCAGATGAAATAAGCCATAGCCCCCATTTAAACGCTGTGCAGGTTTATATTTGATGCCATGCATGCTGTTACTGGTGCTTATGCTAAACCGATCTTTGTGGACAAGCTGGGAGCTAGCTTAGTATGTTTTGCTCATTGTTTTTTTAATTATTTAAAAAAATAAATCCCCGAGGTTTAGCTATTTTAAAAAGTCACAATTATCATTTAAACTACAAATGCCCTGTTACAGTGTTACAATTACCTTAGCAAATACCCTTCTCATGAGGCTGAAATTCGTAAAATAGAAGGAAAAAAATAAAAATAAAAATAAAAAATAATAAAAAAGATGTTAGGGGCTTATTGTGACTTTGGATGATAACTCGACTCTTATGTGGAGGCGAAAAGCTTGGGGTTTGATTAGTGATTATTGTTAGAATTTTAAGATAGACTCTGAATGAGCAGTGCATCATTCGTAATATAAAAATTACTTCTCAATTGCAGGATTCTATAATGAATGGAGTGCCTTTAGAAGATTTTGGACATGGCCATCCAGATCCTAATCTCACGTAAGCAATGTTGCTTGTTCGTTGTTACATGCACTTGTTTTTCGAATTAAGCATCATCGACTTTTAGCATGTTTCTTTAGAATTCTTATCATTTATTTCTTTCATTCTCGATTATATATTTGCTCTATTTTGTTCCCTTTTCTTGAATATATTATATGATTGATTGACAACTATCTGTTGCTTTGAAAAGATATGCTAAGGATTTGGTCAACATAATGTATGGAGAGAATGGGCCTGATTTTGGTGCTGCAAGTGATGGTATGTATGTTGCTTCTTCTTTTGTGACACAGTAGGTTTCTGAATAACATAGATTTCCATTTTTGTTAGTCTGCCCGTGGGACTTAAATGAATTGCCGATAAATATATAAGTTCAAATGTACATCTTTAACCATTATCAATTTATGTATTTTTTTCAGGTGATGGTGATAGAAACATGATTCTTGGAAAAGGGTTTTTTGTGACTCCTTCAGATTCCGTCGCAATTATTGCTGCCAATGCACAGGAAGCTATCCCTTATTTCAAGATCGGTCCAAAGGTTTGAAAACCATTACATTTAGTCTCTGCTTACCTTTTTTTTTTTTTTTTTCTCATAACGTTCATAAATTCCCAGCTTAGTTAACTTACATAACATACAGGGCTTGGCCCGATCGATGCCAACAAGTGGTGCTTTGGACCGTGTGGCTCGGCAGTTGGATCTAGCATTTTACGAGGTTAGCATTACATAATTCCTTACAATGGATTGCGACTACCTTTAACAAAGAATATTTGCAATTTTTTTGTTTCTAGTAAAATTGATTTATTGTTATACAAGCTACAAGTAGTTAAAAACTAAAAGTTGGTGGTTTCTGAAAAATCCATATGAGATTGTATGCATATTTAAGGTAAGAAAGGTCATTGTCTCATTATGATAAATAAAATTAAGGATTTGGAAGTCATTCGCTTTGTTTCGTTTGTAGAGTCTCACTTTGCTCTCCTTATTGAAAACTAAAGCAAGAAGGGATAAAATTTTGAACATACTCCTATTTGTTTATAACAATACCAAAAGTCATGCACCCATCCACCCCCGGCTCTTATATTTTGATTGAGTGATGCCACGTCGAAGCAAAATCTAACATTTTCGATTTTTTCTTTTTCAACTAAACATTTAGAAGTACGCAGTTGTTTCCTGGAAACACACTCGTCTGTATGATATAAAGATTCTTGTATTTTTAATTAATCATATTCCTTCTAATGAATCTCTTACTTCAGGTGCCAACTGGTTGGAAGTTTTTTGGGAATCTAATGGATGCAGGAAAGTTGTCAATTTGTGGGGAAGAAAGTTTTGGAACAGG